TATTCTCCTAAAATCCCCTCAGAGTGCTATGTCTTATAGTTGTCATTAGATCACATGTTTTATCTTACTACAGAAGATAGAGCTTGGTAAAGTTAGGATTCAAAGTATTTTGGTCAATAGGTCTTGTAGATGATTAGAGACTTATCTACTACTCCCTAAGTGCTCTCCTTAATTTCTTCTCTGTTATGATATTTGCTCATGAGTTTGGGCATGCCAGTCACTCACTTTATCGTTTGACCCTATTCACTTTGTATTTATTAGAAAATTGGACATCTTTAATTTCAAATTATTTTTCAGATCTTATATGGATTTTCTTCACATTTTATCTGATGAATATAGTATAATTGTCATGAGAATGATGAGAAAATAACCACTATTAATGCAGAAAAGAGTGAATCTTATGAAACAAGGTTTTACTTGAAAGATTGGACATTGCTTTTTTCTGTTACATCATTTGGTACCAATATGAGTCTCAGAAAATGTAGAGGTGAAAATAAGTTAATGTTAATGACATGACTCTAAGGATATAGGCTAAGTTAGCTGTGAGTCCAAACCCATTCTTTAAGTTTGGAAGGCCATGACACAGTAAATATTATAAAGGTTCTCTGAGCAGCTGTCATGGAAAGGAGAAAACTCTTTGCATGTAACTCCTTCCTGTCTCAAGTAAGGGTAGGGGGCTATCCAAAAATAAACAGCTCTGAAGGTCAAAGCCCAGAATACCAGGTCCACTGAAAGACTGCTAATTATTTGGAAGAATACAGAATGAATCTGCTCCCCAACACCCTACCATAACACCAACAAGACTCCAGAATAATAATAGTGTATTGGAGCTGAAATAATTTCAATACAAGCTCCCTAAGAGGAACACTTAGGGTACCCCAAAGTCAAGAGGAGAGAAAAAAAAGCACTAGAATTTTGAAGGCTGTAGTGTCTATAGCAACAGCAAACATTAAAGAAAGTCTAACTACTTAGTAGTTTAACATAAATCCTCTAACTATAGGTTTATTTCATTATTTCTTTTTATTTCTTTTAACTCTTTTGATCAAGTTCTTTCCAACTTGATCAAAAGAGTTGACACAGTCTCAGTCAAAATCACAGCATGCTATTTTGTGGATATAAACAAACGGTTTCAGACGATTAACTAGTATATTCAACATAGTATTAAAGAAGAACAAAGTTAGACTTACATTGCCTGATTTCAAGTCTTATTGTAAGGTGACAGTAATCAAAATAGCATGGTACTGAAAAAGAACAGACAAATAGATCTATGGAATAGACACACAAAAATGTATTCAACTGATCTTTGACAAAGGAACAAAGCAAAGGCAATTTAATAAGAGAAAGAAAATTCTTGTTTTGTTTTTGTTTTTTAAAGAAATGGTGCTAGAACAAATGGGCATCAAAATAAAAAATAAAATAAAATAAACCTTGACACAGACCTGCTACCTTTCACAAAAAGTAACTCAGAATTGATCATAAATCTTGATGTAAAATGCTAAACTCTTAAATATTTTTTGGAGACCAACTACATGAGCATGAGTTTTATGATGAACTTTTAAATACAACACCAAATCATGATCACTTCAAGGACTATATTACAAATTTAACCTTATTAAAGTTAAAAATACTTTACTCTGTGAAAGGCACTGTTAAGAGAATTAAAAGAAAATGCCATAAACTGCAAGATTTTATTTAGAAAACACGTATCTGCAAAGCACTCATCCAAAAAATACAAAAATTTAATAAAATAAACAATCACATTTAAAAAATGAGCCAAAAACCTAAATAGACATCTCACCAAAAAAGATACAAATGGCAGATATTCATATGAAAATATGCTCAAAACTCTGTCATCTGAGAATTTCACATTAAAACAACAATTCTAATACTTTTTAGAATGACTAAAACGTCAAAAAACTAACACTACAAATTAATGGAAAGATTTTAGAATAATAACTCTTATTGATAGCGGTAGTAAAAATGGTATAGCCAGCATGGAAGAAAGTTTAGCAGTTTTTTACAAGACAAAATCAAATTTATTCATGATCTGGCATTTGCATTTCTAACTACACAGCTGATTGGAAATTTTTATTCATAACCTGCCTATGACTGTTAACAGGAACTTCGCTCATATTTTCCCAAACCTGGAAGCAACTAACGTATACTTAAATAGGTGAATGGACAAATAAACTCGATGTGTGCATTAATGGAATTAATATTATCAAGTTATAAAAAAGAAATGAGCAAACAAGACTTGAAAAGATGTAGATATATCTTAAATGCATATTTCTAAGTGACAGGGGCTATATGAAAAAGCTACATAGTATATAATTTCATTTACATGACATGGAAAAAGCAGAATCATAGAGATTTTAAACAGATCAGAGGTTACTATGTGTTTGTCAGAGCTCCTTTGAGGATTCTAATTCTAAGGCAGGGTGGGAGATATACAAGAAGAGTCTAAAGCATCTTAGACCTGCAAATGTAAATATCAATTCTGCCTCCGTTAATAAACTGCGAAGTTTCATTTGAAGTCAGAAAACATTAAAATGGATTATCTTCCAAAGAAATTTCAAATAAAGGACTATAGTCATAAACATTTAAATTTCAAAGAGGATATGTAGGTTTTCCAAACCACATGATGTTTAATATGTATGACAATTTACTAAAATTTATTCATATTTATACTTATTTGTACAATATGACATATAGTGTATTTACGTGTTTGTTTACTCTTTCCTTCTCCATCTAGAAAGTAAACTCAAGGAAAGTAGATATTTTTTCTGTTTTGTTTTGTTTTGTTTTTCACTGCCAGATACTTAGCACCTAGAATAGTGTCTCATATGTAATAGGTGTTTAGAAAATATTGGTTGTAGGAATGACTTAATTAACGAATAAATCCTAACTTGTTAGCCTGTTTCTTTTTCAAGATATTCTTATTGCATTGGGTTCGTTAATATTTTTAAAGTGTAATTTTAACAGTTTGGTGTTTTAGAGTGTCCTATTCAGGAAAATAGACAATAAGCAATCACTTTACTATTATACATTCACATTTATTATTTATGAGTTGACAAGGAAACAACATTTGAAAATGCTGAAATGGGATTATTCACAAGTAATGTATCATGTCTTGATTCACATTTAATTTACTTTATTGCACTTTGTTTCTAAACTGTCAAAAATGTAAATATGGATTGATTATCCATCATCAAAACCATATTAAGGAAACAAATGCATACCAATGCTTCAAAGCTCTCATTGATGGCACAAAACTATGAAACAATGTTCTCGAAGTGATATTTTACATTTTCTGCACCCAAAATTACTGAGAAGGAACTTGAAAAAGGGAATAAAAAGGATGTTGTTTAATTTCATTTGGTGTTAATATTATAGTTGACTTATTATTAACTTTATTGTATGATTGTACCTCCTTCAGGAAGCTTTTTTTAAAGTTCACAGGTTGCTAAAGTACTCCACAGCATTCTACACATAAAGTTATGACTGTTCTTCAATATAATAACTATATTATAGTGAAAAAGTTCACTTAAGGTCTACTTGCCTAAAACCTAGGAACTAACTTAAGGATGGAGACTATGATTATCTTCAGGGGATGAGAACTGTAGTCATTCAGCAACATTGGTTCATTTGAAGTGATGGAAGAAAACAAAAAGCATTGTTTTTCAGTCTCTAAACATATGCAAATTCTAAAGAGTAAAAACAAGAATTGGTTAATGCAAAAGGAAGAATTTAAAATATTCCTGTTTAAAAATAGATATATGATTCTAGAAGCAGCATCAGAGATCACGAACAAAGTTGATTCTTTCTATAGTGGTGGATTCAAAAGTATGATTTGCCACTATGTAGACATAAGCAATGCTGTCCTTTTAGCAATATACTCTGAACTGTAATTTTCACTGGAAAATATCTGTTATTAAGCATAATACTTTAAAAGGAGAAGTTGTTATTCATATTTGTCAATAACAGGAGAATATATATTTCATTAAGAATTTGTTCAGGTTAAATGGAAGTATGTAATATTAACTTAGTAGAATATGTTTTCAAATATAACAACTTTAAAATACTTATTTCTAAAATTAGATATTTACATTTTCATTTTATGTGTCTGATTACTATTTTTTATATTCTGAATGCCAGTGTAGGAAGAAAAAAATATCTGAGTCTTATCACTGAAAACATAATATATCATAAAAAGCATATGGATTAGAGAAAATTCATTTCAATGAAAAATTATACATATTAAATGTAATGGATTCAGCTCATTTCATTTTCAGGAATTGAGAGTATCAAGTGTTACCAAACTAGTGGGATATAGAAGTTAGATAATCAGAAATATGTCATATAAACTCCATGACAACTCTTCCTATGAAGACTGAAGCACGGTTGGGATCTTTGGCAACTCAGTTATCTCTTTGATCCCTCAACAACTGGAATTCTTAATCTTTCAATACTATAATGAGTCAGCTTCATTTCTTGTTACTATAGTTGCTACCACTATATATGCATTGTTCTATGCCATTTTGCCATTTTATATGAAATCTGAGCATTTGTGGATTTTGGTGTCTGTGGGGACCCTGAAACTAATCTCCTGTTGATACTGAGGGAGGACAGAAATTTTTAAGGAGTCAAAAGTTACATGTGTATTTTTGACTGTGTAGTTGTTGACTTCCCTAACCTCCATGTTGTTCAAAGATCAACTGTACTAATATTCAATTTGATTCAATTCTACCTATAACTATAAATACTGTAACTCTATTTTATACATAACACATTTACTAGCATATATATGGAATATAGAGTATATACACATATATAGAAAATATATAAACACATATATACATATACACATATATATGATATATTTTATCTTAGTCTTCTGTTCCATTTTTCTTTCTAAATGACTTATTTTTTCTTTCTAAGTGACTTTTTTTTTTTTAATTTCCAAATGACATGATTATTTTTTTTCTTTCTAAATGACTTAGGTATAAAATATGATGTTCTATTTCCTGGACTGCATGTTTGTGTTCGCCAGAATCATATGTTGAAATCTGATTTCCAATGATAGTATTTGGAGGTGGCGCCTTTGAAAGATAATTGGGTCATGAGGATGGATTTCTCATGAATGGGACTAGTCCCTTACAAGAGACTTGACAGAAGTGATCTCTCTCTTTGCCATATGAGGACACAGCAAGAAAACAGCTGTCCAAACACCAGGAAGAGGGCTCTCACCAGAAGCTAACTATACTGGCATGCTGATGTCAGACCTCCTTACCTCCAGAACGATGCATAATAAATTTCTGTGTTTATGGTTTTATGTTAAAGCAGCCTAAACTGACTAAGACATTTTCTTCAAAACTCTTATTTTCAGATAATCAGTATTGTGTAGAGATTTGTTCTTTCATACAGAAGCCATAGCCACATTTGGCTATTTGAATATATATTTAAACTAATTAAAATTAAGTATAGTTAAAAATTAAGGTTTTCAATCACATTAGCCATAATTCAAGTGCTCAGTAGCCACACATAGTCATGGGCTATCATATTAGTCAACATATATTGTGAATATTTCTATCATCAGAGAAAGTTCTGTTGGTCAGCACTGCTATACAGATTAAGAATAATATATTAGCACATTCAAATCATATCATAGTCACTTCTAAGCTGAGTGTTTCTAGAAAATAAGTTTCTTAACTTTTTTAGGCTTTAATTTCCTCATTTTAAGAGTAAGAACAATAGTAGTATCCATATCTTAGGATTTTCATCAGAATAAGCTACTACACTGAAGTACTAAAATACATTGCAGAGTGATTAATAAATTGAGAAAATAGTTGATGTACAAATGGACCATACCAGATTGTATCTAAAAATAGAACTCTCACCCACAATCTGCAGCAACCAGTCCAAGAAGCCAACCCACTATCTGCAGTAACCAGTCCAGGAAATCAAACTATTATCTTTAACAACCGGTTCAGGAAGCCAAACAATAAACCTTTATAGCAATTAGCCTCAAATGACCAGGACTTCTTAATAACTTACAGCTTCCCTAACCTTTGCCCTCATCCACTTTTTAAAGTTCTTTTCCCACTTCCAACTTGAGACCAAATGAAAGGAGATAATTATGCACCCATAACCAATTGCATAGGATGCCCTGCTCCAGGCAACCCTCTTACAGCTTCCTCATGTCAACAGCCTCCAAAACAGGTATATTTGAAGCTTTCCCTTTTCTCCATTATACAGTTTTTCCTTTTTCTTTCTTTGGGCCTTTGCCAAAATGCAAGTGATAAACTTACCTTTATTTAGCATTGAATAAAGCCTCTAGATTATTGTACTCTGTCAAAGAT